TTTCATATTATAACAACAGATGAATGAAGATAGATGGATTCCCATATATTTTGTTGTAAGTTAGATGTTATAAGATAGTAATAATGCGTCCTCAGTTGAGCTATTATTACTTTATTTCCCTAGGTTTCCAGGTGGAACATAGCGATTCAGCATTACCTAAGCTATACGTTGTTCTTAATGCGACATAATTACCTTCGTACAGTTTGTGATGTAACAGATTTCCATCTAAGCTGATTATATGGGATAAATATAGCATCTATTACCCTGATAAGACACTGTGAAGGGCATGGAAAACCACAGTGGCCAGGAGGCGTTATTAGAAGTAAAGGGTTTTCGTATTAATCAGAAAATTGCATCGAATACTAATCCAGTTAAGCACCCTAGAGACAAGAAAGGCAGTAAGGTTAAACACCACGTGCAATCTTAACAGGCTGGGAGTAACATGGGGTAATTCAAGCCTAAACACTATTGTTTTGTCATCACCCTGGAAGAAATTTAGTGTAAATGGGAAGCAGTGTTCAGTTGACAAATCGGGATCGGCACAGCAGGCGCATATATTGTGAAGAGTCAAAAGTACACAGTCTAGTGAAATGCCGATAACTGAACTCCTAGGTTAACTATGGTGCTTCCCCTAGGATGACTGAGGGTTGGGTGATTACACAGCACATACTTTTTTCAAGTGTCACCACATTTATCCGGTGGGCACTTAGGAGTTTCAACAAATAGGAAAAGATATACCGGTAAGGTTTCATGAAAATTCAATAATATACGTTTACGTTTTGAAGTCAATGCCTCCCCCATGGGACAGATCTGTGAAAGAGAAAGGGCGATTTCTTTTCAGAGGGTGAAAAATCAATTAAAAGAGACGATGAGGAGGAAATGTCTTAGAGTGGGGAAATAATCCGAAAAATGAGGGGAAATCACGAAAACTTTTACTGTTCGCCGAAGGTTACTGATAAATTGTGAGTAGTTAATATTTTCTTTCGAAATTACGCTACCATTACTTGACACAAAATCTAACAAGCAGAACACAGAAGGAAGGAAGTACTAACACTCAAAAGTAGGAATGGCAGTAGAAGTAACCCGATAACTAAAGTGTTTTCGTCATACACTAATCAAGACAGAGCCACACGCATACATACATACACATACATTAAGAATAGCGGTCGATAGCATAAGATTACAGTTACAGTGAGAAATCGACTTGTGACTTGTTATTGTCACTTTGACTGTGATAATACAAGGGGTCAATGTACTTGCTAATAATGTCACAAATACCTTTAAAAATTAATTAAATCTCTGAGAAAATTGTCTGAGATTTCATAAACCAGACAGTGTGATTCATCTGAATTACTCAATCAACTGGATGCATATTAAATTCTGTAATCATGATCTTTGAGCGTAAGGAGAAGCGCTTATATACCTCTCTCTAGGCAAACACCATCACATCCCCCTCAACCAGACGACACACACACACGTTTTCCCCCTCTCTTTTTTCGTTTGCATAAGTGAGTTAGGTTTGCATATATGTGACCTGGTACCTGACGGTAGTGCTCTGCAATTGAAATATCGACTAACATTTTACTTATTATTTATGACAAGTCTCCTATTTCATCTGTATGATATTTCAATTTTTTCAATAATTTAATAAGTCCCATTGTAGCATTAAGAACACAATTTTCAGCGAAGAGACTCTTTCCAACGAATTTATTATCAAGCTGTACAATCGTATATATATGGTTTTATAAAGAAATTATAAATTCTTTATAAAACCATATATATACGATTGTACAGCTTGATAATAAATTCGTTGGAAAGAGTCTCTTCGCTGAAAATTGTGTTCTTGATTTCAATTTTTATCCGACACACACCCCTACCCACCCAGTTTGGTTCGTCTCGATTTTTAGAGAAATACAATCTAAATTCTTCGTTACATTTCATTCATTCGTTCATTCATTCATTTATCCATGACAAGTATTATATATATATATATATATATATATATATATATATATATATATATATATATATATATATATATATATATATATATATATATATTCTATCTGTAATACTTAGTATGTACCTGTTATTTTGTTCTAATATCTCCTTTTTGTTTCTGTTTTCAGTAATCGGCTTGTCATCATCAACATCATCAGGCTAAGTGAAACGTTATCACCATCACATATTGCTAAACGTCGTAAATTGCGACAAGTATAATACAGAGATAACGCCATTGATATAAGAATAAAACTTGTGCACTGTGGTAGAGTGTAATTCCATTATGGGTAAATTTTGTTTTGATAAAGTCTCACAGTGTTATACAGTAATGTTTACTGATGACCACATTTCGAGCACAATTTATTGCCACTCATAATCATATCAAGGTACTCCTCCCACGACTTCCTAACTTCATTTATATAGTTCCATTGTTTTTCACTTGATTTTCACTTGATTTGATTGGTAGTAATATTTTCCATATTTCAGGTATGAGTAATGAATCATTCCTATTGCATGTATTGGGTGTAGACTCGATGAACAAGGATTCAGTAATCAACCTCTCGGGATACTTATCTTACCCCGAGAAGATAAGTAATTTGGAAAAAAGCTCAACAATTGCAATGCATGCATTAACAAACAACCACACAATAGGGTGAGAGAGGGTGAAAATTCTAAAAAGTAATCTAGATAGGTGGAGAGAGAAGTTGATTGAATTGAATTTTTGATTTTCCCGTCGACTGATTGGACCGAAGTGCGCATCCTGGATTCCACTGCTAGCCACCATCCACCAATTGTATACTAAATGCCCGGATATCGTCGAAGCATCTGCACAAGAAGCCGACATGTCAACCTGAGACCGAGCACTTCGGTCCAATCAATCGACGGGAAAATCAAAAATTCAATTCAATAATTAACATGACCCGTTGCACAAGAGGTGGCTCTCGTGGCTCAAGTGGTCTAGTGGATAACGCTTTGGCGTTTGAAACTATGGGTACTGGGTTCGAGCCTCGCTGGGAAAATCATCACTCACTATGAAATGCAGGTACATCCAGCTGACGAGTCTTATATAGGACAAGAAGTTGATTACTGAGTCCTTGTTCATCGAGTCTACACCCAATACATGCAATAGGAATGATTCATTACTCATACCTGAAATATGGAAAATATTACTACCAATCAAATCAAGTGAAAATCAAGTGAAAAACAATGGAACTATATAAATGAAGTTAGGAAGTCGTGGGAGGAGTACCTTGATATGATTATGAGTGGCAATAAATTGTGCTCGAAATGTGGTCATCAGTAAACATTACTGTATAACACTGTGAGACTTTATCAAAACAAAATTTACCCATAATGAAATAGAGATAGTGCATTGGTAGTGGTGAGTGCATTAAACACGTCTGTCTGATACATTCTATTTCTCATAAATTGTTTTTGGTTTTTACATTTTCGACTTCAATTTAACTGAACTGTTGTCATCAAATTTCGTAACATTTCACTGACGAGATATAATTTATTCATTGCCAGTAGAATACACTATATTACTCTACACTAAACTACACTATATTATAACCATCATCCTCACCATCCTCTATTTGGTTTATAAATTTATTTCACTGTAGCTTTGCTGCTTTTCATCATATTTGACCTCGATCATGTCAACTGAACTGAACTGTAATCCTACTTATTAGGAAGAAGGCTAGACAAGGTGATCATGATAATGATGATATCAAAGTGATAATAATTGATTACAGGATTTCATAATGAGCTGATATTAGTTAGAGAACCATTGGAAAACCTGGGAGTAATGGACAGCTGTTTCGTCATAGTTTGGGACTCTTCACAGTAAGCACCCACCGGTTTTCTAGCTGATGTCAGCTCATGATGAAATCCTGTAACCAATCAAATCCTTACAAGCCAACACTTGAATATCAATGAGATGCACACTAGCAACTCGCTCTATTCAGGGTTCAAGTGAGAAGTCATGACTAGTAGGATGCAGCAGGTCGGGTGTTAGGACATATACTCGCCACCGAAGACATTGGCTAGCGGTCGCGCTATGTCGTGAATTGGCAGAAGTTGGAATTCATAGGCAATTGTATCGGATCCCAATGGCTTCATCTGATTACAGCTTGATTCCACACCGTATTTTTGGTACAAGTATGGCATTTTCAGCATATGATATCGGTAGCCCAAATTTTGCAGGCCGACCATAAATATCAGGTGTTCGTCGGCAGAGGATCGAACTCCGGACCATGTGCATGATCGGCAAGAGTCCTAACCGCTGTGCCACCGACGCACAGCTAGCTTGCCTTGTAACCAGAAGGTCCTGGGTTCGAATCCCGGTGGGTGCGTACTGACGAAGAGTCCCAAACTAGGACGAAACAGCTGTCCAGTACTCCCAGGTTTTCCAATGGTTCTCTAATCAATGTCAGCTCATGATGAAATCCTGTAGCCAATCAAACCAACACTTGAATGATAATAATTGAGTTATTACCACTCTCTCCATCTATGTCAGTTATTTGTCATCCTTCCCTCCCTCCCTCCCCACCTACTTACCTACCTACCATGTTGGGTGTGGGGGTGGGTGGGTTCGTTTATATTGTCCTAGTACTGCTATTAGTGGTAGTAGTCTTATTTACCACTTACTATCACACAACTCAGTGACAGACATCCTCCGTGATAACGATAAAATAGTAGAATTATACTGAGCAGCATATGAGTTATTTCTGGTTTCTTCTGTAACATACCGGCTTTCTCGAATTCCCGCACTGCAGTAGGCGCCATGGCGGTTGAAATGTTGTTCTCAAAGTAATCTGATGCCTAATGTTTAGTTTCACATACCGTTGATCCAGTTGGTTGTAGATACCTCATATAGATTTCACAAAATTTGTTTTAAGTAACTAAAAATAATATTAGCAAGAATATTTACTTAAATAACAGTTAAAAATGTGTACAGTCAATAAATTTATTCAGTTATGCTTTACAGAAGTCTGATATTACTTGGACCAAAACCAATACAATCCTGGTATCTCATTATTCAACTCGATACATGTGTCAGTAAACCATGCAACTGGATCGAAATTAATTTCTTTTGGTTCTGACGACTCACAGAGATGTTGTTCGCATTCCACTCTATAAAAACATCGAATTCCATGTAGACAGTGACACTGTGACATGTCGAATACACTGCCATCAACTGTTATTTCTTCCAGTCTGATATCAAAGCAGTCGTGTTCAACTATGAATGTGTTATGCTTGGTAATTGATTTATCTGATGCAACCTTTTCGACATATTTTAAACATGAAGCGGAATTACTGAAATTATCGAATTTCATCTGACCAGATAGTATTTTAGACAAACACACCGTCAGTCGGTTGAAATAACCCATAGGTCTTCCCAAAGGAAACCATATTTCTTGCACGAATTCTTCTTTGTCGTCGTTAGCTTTGCATTCTGAATTAAGAGATTGCAATGAACAAGTGGATGAAATTTTCAGTGACTGATTGTTAAAGAACAGGCAAGGAAATACGACAAATGGTTTCATTTCATTGGGTTGTATTTTCTCTAAATCATAATTAATTGTGCACTTCTCATTCATTAGAAAGCCAGCCTCTAATAATTCCGTCAGCAGTAATACCTTACGCGTTGCAACATTCAGTGGACTTATTGAACTGATTGATAATTCAAAATTATTCGTTTGACTTCCGATTTGTTTTAACTCCCCTTTTGCAGATTTTGATGTATTTCCCGATCTTATTCTTGTTTCCACTGTGTGGTGGGATGAAGGCACTTCTAAATGACGACTTCGTTTACTTGTAGTCATATGTCTATGTTGAAGTGATCGTTGTTGCTGATTTTTATTCATTTGGTTGACGAGATGACTTCTACGCAAGGCGAACGGTGGAAGTAGACATCTTATCATCTGATATGGGAAAGATTTATGATGATTCCATGTACTGAAGTAATCTGTTAAACTATCATCTGTATACCCGGTCAGTGCACGTAAATACCATCTATGATGATATTGACAATTTTCTTTGCTGTCATTCACATCGCCGTCGTCATAATACACTGAAGCTATTCTATGTGGATTTAAAATCCCATTTATCATAGAGAAAAATACTCCTGGTCGTAGAATTAAATAATTTTTCAAATATTTATGTTTTGAAAAATACAGTAATTGACCAGTTGTATGAAAGTAGTTTAAACAATCTTCAATGTTATCAATAAACATTTCATCAAAAAATGTCTTGTTTAAAACAAGCTGATTATTGTCAACATCAGGTGATGTAGAGGTGTCAATATTCTCCCTTGATTGTACATCAATTTCCACCATGAAAGATGATTTCAGTTTATCGTGAATGTAGGCGCTTAAAGACAGCCATGATTTTGAAATGTGACTACTTTTATTCAGCGACTGACTGTTGAAGCTTATTCGATGTTCAATTTCATTCCAAAAATCGTCTATACTCGTGTAGACAAATGAATAAGTTGGTTTACTATTTTTTAGTGGTTTAGCAGTTTTCGCGTTTTTTGATTGTGACTTAGATAAGTTTAGAAACGAGACATTCTCGAGGACTGTGATTGAGCAGGGCTCTTCTTCATGTTTGTAGAAAACAGGTGAATTAAGAAATTTGAAGCTATCTGATAAGAGAGTAATTCTACTGTGTACATACCATTGAAGTAGATTGCTCAAATCATATTTGTTATTTTGTCTGGTCTCATCAGACTGGCTGAATGGAATATTCGTCAGTAAATTTGTTGATTTCGGCAGTTTTGATATATTTTCTTGTTTAGCAATGAAACTGTCGCCGTTCAATGAAGCTGACAGAATGGAATGAATAAAACGATCCGCATTATTATTATTATTATTGATATCGATTTCATCTACACTTGTTCCCACTAACTTGACAACAGATCCTGGTGCATACATTCGTAGCATGAGTAAATATGACCAAATGGCGTTATCGAATACACTTTCCTGCATACTTGATGATTCTGACAACGTGTCTGCTTTACACAATAAATTAATATTAAAGACTAAAATAAAAAAGCTGCGGGGATCTAAAATATGCGGTAGAATTAATTCTAAACCAGAATCGGAATAACACGATGAAGAAGGCACATGATCTTCACTACATCCTGGAGGTAAATTGATTTCATAAAATACTATGCCATATCCATTCGGTGAAGTACAATGATTAATCAGTATTGGTGATGTTTCCAGTGGTAAGTTGACATAATTTGTAATATTCTTGTTCAGCATGCATTCATCACCGTTATTCAGTGAGATTTCGTTCAATTGTGAAGTTACATTTATTTGTTGATTTGATTCGCCTGAACATTCATTGATGAGGTGTTTGATTAGTATTGATTTTCCGGAGAATTTATGCCCGATAACTATTATCTTGGTTGGTTCAGTATTTTTGGATAACTTTTTCAACCATTGATCCTAGGAGTTGAATGATAAACACAGGAAAACAGGGTTAGGCAGTAAAATGTATGATTAGATGCCACCTATTTATTTTGACATTACTAAGTTTTGAAAGATATTCTGCTACTTTGACCACTTTCTAGACTACTTAGTTACTTGGTTACAGCACTAAGAACTACGCACACATTCATCTCAGAGATTTTGCTGGAAGAAACTTAGTCTTCGAGAGGAACAAAACCACTGGGACAGCTGAAACATCAGGAGTAAGTTTTTATAAGATTCAGAGGCTTGTGGAATTCGAATTTATAAACCAGGTCTCTGTGTACAAAAGGAGATGGTCGTGACTTTGAATCCACCATGGTAATACGTTTTACTTATTATTCTACCTATTATTGTTATTATTATCCTTGATTCATTTAAAACTATCCTTTATCAGTAGGATTATCTTAACTCACTTCAACACTATTATTATTATTGTTATTATCACTATTACTATTGATATTAGTCTGTTTGCAATTCTTATTATATTCTCTAATGACTATTTGTTTATCTAAGTGGTGTAATTGAAGCGTAATGCAATTTATCTTAATTTTTACCTCTCATACTCTCTCTCCCCTTATCTATTTGAACATGACCTGGAAAACATTCACACCTGTCTTTCTGCATGACTAATTCAAAGTAGTTTGTTTACTTATCAGTCTTATATCTCCAAATGTAATTTCAAAAGTATGTATATCCGTGTATGTAGAGTATTCAGCTGACGAGTTCTACCGGAATTTGATGAATTCATTAAATCATCCTGCTTTATTAATCTTTATTGCTTGTTTTAAATTCGTATCGGGAAATAAATGTTTTCAATTTTATAAGATCATACAAAATTGAAAAATAACCAAAAAGTGTAATAGAGCTGTATAATTACGACGTCGACCAAGTTAAAGAACAGCGATTCACGAGTGCCAAGGCACCAATGTCCTTAAGCACACACTATTAGTTGGACAACGGGACCTAATGGTCTCATTGTACATCTCCGTCAATTGAAGCGTTGTAGTCCTTCGCAATGGTAGTTTAATGACAAAATACATTTTCTGTGAATCGAAGTTTTGCATTAAAACGATTTTCTTATGCAGTGCATATTGTCGGTGACATTATATTCTTGAAGTGTTGCCTAATACTGTTAATCGCTCAATGTAATGAAATAAAGGAGGCGGTAATCTCAAAAGTTAGACGCGTATTATTGAATTTTCATGAAATCCTGCTGCTATATTTTGATTTATTCAATGGGACGTCTCAATGTCCACCGGATAAATGTGGCACCACCTCAAACGAGGGTTATGCCGCACAACAGGACCTACCCTTATTATAGCGTCACTAAGAATGCTGAGGTGCAAATTTCATCCCGATTCCGGTTTTAAGTACTGTTTGTACAATGGGTTGATAGCTCGCTAGGATTAGGATTGGGGTTGAGATCAGGGTGTTTTATTTTCAGCATCTGTATTTTCCTAGTAAACAGTTTTACGGTGTTCATAATTGTTATCTATAGTTTTTCTAGCAGATCAACGGCATTTTTCTATGAAAAACACAGGTTATTCTGATTGGTCGCCTCAAAGTCAGTTGTGCGTTCTAATCGCTTGGAGTGCTATTCTTTAACTTCGCCACTAGATCACAATGCAAGTATTCACATTTTCCACTAATAAATTCGAAAGTGAATAATAAAAAATAACATATTACTAGACAAGGTGGATATTGAGAAATGACCATGTAGATTATTATTGTTTTTTTTTGAGTTTCGAGCTAGACATAGGGTTTCATACTTGAGCTTTGAATTTTTTGTAGTAGTAGTGTTTTTTCTAAGGGATAGAGTTGTCAGTCTCATGCTCAACCTTCGATCTTTACCGTGTTTACTACAGGCTAAGCAGTGATGTCTAGAAGTGCGTTCATCCGTAAGGAGTGGAACCACAGGATGCTCGCAGTGAGGGGGGGTGTCCTACCATTGAAATACCGATGCACAGCAGGTAAAGTTTATGTATGTGTCGCTAGTCGAAACTGGACCACCTCCGTGTCTGGCGGGCATTCTACTACTCAGCCACCAATACACTCTTTTTCTTTATTTTTATAGTTGATTATCACCGCCATTGTTCGAACCCACAACCTTCAGGTGATAATTCAAATGTTGGTTTGTAGGGATTTGGTTGATTGGTTACAGGATTTCATCATGAGCTGACATTGATTAGAGAACCATTGGAAAACCTGGGAGTACTGGACAGCTGTTTCGTCCTAGTTTGGGACTCTATCAGCACGCACCCACCGGGATTCGAACCCAGGACCTTCTGGTTACAAGGCGACCCGCGATTTCGGCATCATCTCGTTGTAGGTTTGAGTGATGTTCGTAGTCTATGTCTGGATATACAATCTTATCAATGTGCATACATGATAAAGCGTCTGCCACTTCATTGTATTTACCCTTTACATGTCGCAGATCGGGGGTGAACTGGGATATAAACTCGAGATGTCATAGTTCGCGCGGAGAGTACTTATCCTGTTTCACTGATAAGGCTTTCGTTAGAGCTTTGTGGTCTGTAAAGACAGTAAAAGATGTACCTTCCAGCATATGTCGAAAGTGTTTGATTGCTAAGTAAACAGCTAATAATTCTCTACCAAAGGTGCTATAGCGACATTGAGTAGGATTCAGTCGTTTCGAAAAGAATGCAAGGGGCCACCAATCGCCATGGACCTACTGTTGTAAGGCAAGGTCGTATACCATTCAGCCGCTGGGGTTTAATCTAGTGGCCTATGAATTCCAACTTCTACCAATTCGTGAATTTAGAATGACCACTAGCAGATTTCATTCGCAACTATTAATCCTCTCACCCGAAGTGGTGGATCTCACTGGCCACGACATTTCATCAGAAATCCAGTCAACTTTATCCTGTAGCCAGTCACTAGCGGGTATCAGAGTTGTTTTGTAGGGATTCGTTTTTCTTCAAATCTGACTACAGATTGACATCATTTTCAGGTATTGTGATCTAGATCGGTTCGCAATGAAGCCAATAAATGATGCAGTTTTAAAGTTATTCTGATGCTCTCTAGTGACTAGCTACAGGTGGGGAATGGGAACAGATACCTGGCTGGTGGCCGAGTTAAAAACACGAATTGATCGAATTTAGAATTCATCGACCATTGAATTGTGACCCAGTGTCTGAATAGTATACGAACTTTCTTTGTAACCGGAGAGTCTTAGTTTCGAAAGCCTAGTCGGTGTGTTCTGATGAAGAGTCCAGGAGTAGGACGAAATATCTGTCCACTACTCTCTGCTGGTTTTTTGATGATTCTCCAACTGGTGTCAGAGCATGGTCAAACTTGAAACAAATCATATCCCTAAAGACTAACTGTTGGAAAATAAAATATGCAACAGTGGCAATAAATACTGCCAGTGCACTTCTGAAATGAAACTGTGATTTCTTCATAGTAAGGGAGATTATGTTCTAAATAATTATGCAAAACGAGAGACCCAATGGTAACTTAGCCTTTCTTCTAATTTATTCAAACCAACTGCAATTCACCATTGATTTTCAAAAGTAAGATGAGTGAATAAGAGTTACTGCTTACCTCTAAATATTTCCACAAGTTTTTAGTATATGTTGTTTTCCATACACTATGCGGTAGGCAATTTAAAGGATTCCCCTGAAGCCATAAACCGCATTTGTTCAATCCATCATATTGATGTGATGCTTGAAGATTTTTCAATAGGTAGAAATTCTCTGGTAAACTATTCAACTGATTGAAGCTTAAATCTAGTGTTGTCAATTCTTTCAGTTGACAAATTGTATCTGGTAGTGAAGTGAGCTTATTCTCACTCAGATAGAAATCTTTCAAACTGACTAAGCCAGAGATATCTTCAGGTATTTGGCTTATCTATATGCATACACGGGGAAAATTAATAAAATTCTATTAGCGTACCTGATTGAATTATTGAAGACATGACTATCAGTTCTAAAGGTAGTGATAATTCAATTACTTTTATGAAGTAAACTTCCCTTTTCTCTTTTGTGATGAATATTATTCAACATTTACTTGTGAAGAAGACGAAACAGGTCATTTAACAACACGCTTTGAATTAATGCTGGTGATAATGAAAACCTGACAGTGTGTGACCTATACTTGTTTCATACAAAAGTGTAGGAATTAAAAGGAAAGTTAAAGTGGTCCTCAAAATCTCGCTTGTTGTGTTTACTACATCTTTGTGGAATGACAATTTGCATCATTTCTCAATATCAGTCTACTCATGATTTCATTGTTTATTATTATTGTGATTGTTGTTCCCTTGGGTTCCTAGTGGAACATAGGGCTTCAACTGCACGTCTCCACTTGCTTCTGTCTTCCTTCTGCTGTACTTTTCACCTCCATCCATGTTAGTCCATAATGTTTCAACAAACTCCTCTTCACACGATCTCCTCTATGTCACCCTTGCACTGACGTCCCACTCGCCGCGTGCTTCCCTTTCGGCTTGGATCCACTCGAGCAATGGCCTGACGCGCGCACGACGTCACCCAGTGGCGGCCTCCTCAGCGAGTGTCCAATTCATCCATCTCCACTTTCTCCTGCATATTTGTTGGTTGGCGATTGGTTCGTTCTTGTTCTGTTTGTTTGTTCCCAGGCAGAGTTTCTTGTTGGTGATTGTTTCCGGCCCGACAATCTGATCTTCAGTATAGATCCAGCGAAGACAGTTGTTGGTTGATAAAGGTCTGCAACAGGCTGTTGGAAATATTCTGATCCGTATAGAAGAGCTGACTGACTTGATGTTTGTATTGAAAATCCGACGGAATTTTGTTGTTGATGGTGGCTGAGTGACGAAGATTTCCAAATTGGTTTCAGATTGTTGATTACTAGCTCGCTAGTTTTCTAGCCAGTCCCAATCCCGGATAAAGAGAGAGGGTTAGGGCGTGGTGCTAGCAACTCCACCCCCCCCCCCAAAACTTAACCAAACTGCTACAGAAACTTCAACGCATAAATATATTAAAAATACTAAAAATATAAACGATTTCAATGCTTGAATAATTTTTATTTTGTAGGTATAGTTCATTCGGCTGGTCGAAACTTCCATCTGTCTTCATCTGAATAATACGGAGATAAAGTTAAACGAATAGATGGATTTATTTAGAGCTTTACACAGATGCACATCTACTCTAACTGAAGTAAATCATAATTTAAAAGACAGATTAGTGAAGAAAGAAAATCGATTCAAAGAATGTTTAACTCCAGTAAGCTGCATCATTATATTTTCCACAGAATCAACTGTGATTTCAAAAGTGAAACAGGAAGTACCTAGGATGGCTACCTCCAGTTATAGCTATCAGTCCAGCTGCTTTTGTCAAACCGGTTATATTGACTGTTGCTCTAGGAATCCAACTATTCGTGCTTGGGAACACATACCAGTGTGTCTAAATAAAGGTTTTATCCTAGATCATCTCCTCCAAATAGGCCTCAAAGGGTGTTCCTCAGTTATCTGTCAGGTATGGAACAAATTACGAAAAGCCCGTAGATATGGACAGCAGAGACCATTGTGATTCGTTAAAAAATCAGCACTGGAGCTCCATGTGCAAAAGCGATAAGTCCAGCCGTAGTTTCTGCCCTGGCCGTCTGTAGAACCTGCAAATTCATAAATTCTGTATTATTACTTCCCTTAATTTATCTGATATTCAATTGAATTTTAAGATTTTCCCGTTGATTGATTGGACCGAAGTGCTTGGTCTCAGTTTGACATGTCAGCTTCTTGTGCAGATGCTTCGACGATGTCTGGGCATACAATTAGAATTTAATTTGTGGATGGTGACTAGCAGTGGAATCAAGGATGCGCATGGGAACATCATCACTCACTGGGAAATGCAGGTACATCCAGTGACGAGTCCCAAATAGAACGAAACCCGCATCCTGGATTCCACTGGTAGTCACCATCCACAAATTATATATCTGATATTAAGTTTCTTGTTGTTATATTGATACACATTATTTCTCTCTCCTACTGATGTTTTTGAAATGTAATCACCTGTTGTTGCCATAGATTCGTCGTAATTTAAAACAGCATCATTGTTGTTGTTGTTGTTAATGACGATATTTCCTTAATTATTACTGTCGTGTAAACGTAGAACTTGATGACAAATTTATCGAAAAGAATATTCTTTGTTCACTGAACTTTAGTCTTTTCAATTTTTAGTTGGCATCTTCAGTTTATTATTGCACAATCATAAATATCTGAATGACTAGTACACCGGAAATGTATTCATCCCTGTAAGAGTCAGGCTGGAGATCAGTGACTTCATAGAGGATTAATTACACTTTTTGTCTGATAATCCCTGACTATTTGACAAAATAGACGTTTTTCGATCATTGTCATTCGTTATGAAGTAAGATAGCACTGTATGTGTTCAAACTATTCTAGCCAGTGGGTGTTCTGAACCATTTTGCAATTATCTCCTTCGGATATTAAATGTCAATATTGAATTACTGTGTTTGTACTATTTGTTATTATTCCATTAGGTTTCAAGTGGAACATAGGGCCTCAACAGCACATCGCTAATTCGCCCTGTTCTCTCTCTCTCTCTCTAGTCACCTTTAACTGACGCCACTATTGCACATAGGCACTAATCTTCTCCTCGCACCATCTCCTCCATATTACCAGCACACTCTCGCCCAAACAGTTGATTTCTATTCGGGTCCCACTTGAGTTAATGTCTAGCGACTGACAATATCCAACGGTCCCCTCAGTGTGTGTCCAATTCATCTCCATTTTCTTCGAAATATTTGCCCACCAACAGGTTTTCGATTAGTTCGTATGCCTCCCATAGTTTCTTATTTCCCGCTGTTTCTGACCGGCCAACTGTGTGATCTTCGGTGTGGAGCCAGTGAAAGAGGTGGTTGTTGATAAAAGTCTTCAGCATACTGTTGTAAATGCTTTCCGTGGAGTGCGCGCCAATTTTCTGGAGTTGAATGGAGCAGATTTCCACACTGATTTCCGCATGATGAAGGTGTGACTTGCCTTTTGGATTCTGGTTTTAATATCTTTACCCTTTCTGAATACCTAAATCCTGTCTTTGGTGCTTCTTCAGCCAACTACAATCTTCAAATTTATGTGACATTAGACACAAGGGTTACGCGGCCGACAAGGATTAATGATTGGAAATTCATAATCTTGTGGCATCTTTCCCCAGAAACTACCTATCATGCCCTTGAAGTGGTACAGATTGAAATGCTGAACAGCATTTTACACATGAAGCTGTGAAAAGCCGAGGTTTGTACATAAAATTGGATATCCTTTGCATATTCAACAATAAGATTATTGTATGCGGTAATCATCTACTCACTGGACTAAAAAGTTATTAATATTATTATATCTTTTAATTCCTAGAGGAACATAGGGCTTCACCTGCACGTCTCCATTGCCTTCGGTTTACTGACAACTTTTTCACTCCACTCCAAGTCTGCCCACACGCTTTCATCTCTTCTTCACATGATATCCTCCAAGTCACCCCACCCTCCCACTGACGACCAACTCGCCGCCCGCTTCCCTTTCGGCCTAGTCCCACTCGAGCAATGGCTGGCTTGTCCAGTGATGTCACTTGATGGTTTCCTCAGAGTATGGCCAGCCAATCCACCTCCATTTCTTCCTGATTATTTGTTGCACAATCGGTTCCTGGTTGGTTCGCTCATTGCCGGAGATCCCTGTTCCTGATCTTTTCTGGCCATCTGATCTTGAGTAGTATTGAGCGAAGATAGATGTTAATGAAGGTCTGTAGTTTGTTTGAGGTGCTCTTCATGACGCGCTAGCCAAGTCTCTGGTCCGTATAGTAAGTAGCACTGACTTTACATTGAAGCAGGAAATCCGGATCTTATTTTTGATGCTGAGTGTTGTTGACCTCCACATAGACTTGAGACTGGTGAAAGCCTGTCTTGCTTTTCCGATCCCCACTCTTATATCCTCGTCATTTCCGCCTGTAGTTGAAACGATGCTTCCGAGGTAGGTAAAGGAGGTTGTTTCTTTCAGGTTCCTCCAATTTATTCTGGCTGATTATTGTCTGTTGTTGTTGTTGCTGTGGCTGTTGCTGTTGGCCAGGAATCTTCATCACCTCTGTTTTCTCCATGTTCACCTGGAGTGAAGTCCTATCTTTGATGCTTCTTCTGCCAACTTGTTGCCTTTCACTTGCATATCTTCCAGTTTGTGGGAAATCAGACATATATCATCGGCGAAGTCCAGATCCTCCAAGTGTTTTGTGTGGGTCCATTTTGAATAAATAAAGAAAGTAGATCCACGTCTCACTCACCTTATTATAGCTGAGATCTAACAGTTTCAATTTAGTCATCCCACATAACACTCCATTTCTTATACTGGTCAAATTCATTGAAGATAATTTCAGTGTTTTTAGAACGATAAATTTACAACCGAAATTGTCTGGCAGCACAACTGATCCATTTACTTTGTCTAACTGGTTGTATGATAAATCCAGGTACTCAAGTGTATTACCCAGTGTGAATAATCCACATGGAATTTCTTTGAAATAATTCTTCGATAAATGAAGTTCACAAATGCCCTTCATTTGTGCCAAATTCTCTGGGAGGAAATTTAACTGACAACGATCTAAGTGTAATACCTGGTAATTCGGATAAAAAATAAACAGAGGCAGTTAATATAAGCTCAATGAAATGACTATCGCATATATAGATTTTTCCCGTTTATTATAATAAATCTCAGTTTACAGGATCACATCGTGAACTGGAATTGGTTAGAGTACTGGATAGCTATTTCATCAGCCTAGCTTGGGACTCTTTGTTAGTAGGCACCTGCCATCAGGGTGTGAACCAGGATCTCCCAGTTACAAGGCAAGTTATAGACCATTCATCCACTGGGACCCAATCTGATGACCCACGAATTTTAAATTCTGTGAATTCGCGACATAGCACGACTACTACAGATACTCCCCGTTTACATTAAATAGTGGTCAGGATATATCATTTGTTGGCAGAAGTCGGAATTCATGGGCCATTGGATCGGGTCCCCCTGGCTTAATGATCTACAAGCTCGCCTTGTAACCGGAAGTTCCTGGATTCAAACCCGGGAGGTGAGTGCATACTGATGAGGAGTCCTAGACTAGGATGAACCAACTTTCTAGTACTCCCAGGCTTTCTGGCAGTTCTCTGTCAGATATCAGCTCATGATGAAATTGTGTAACCGATCGTATCCCTAGGCAAACTAACACCTGAAAATCAATGTTTAATTTTAAGTGCTGTATTGAAGTGTTTTTAAATTTCAACAGATAATGTATAAAATCGAAGAAAAATTCTAGACTGTGGAGAATTTCAAACCGGTGGTCTCATGGATTGTAAGCCTACTACAGCTCGTGGCCGCCAGTCAACACCACTCATACAATGAGCGAGATGCTTTTGCCTGACGACTGTAATTTTTAGAGGAGCTGGAGAACTAATACCTGACTGATTTTCACGTGGATCAGTTTTGTTCAGCACACTGTTTGCCACTGTGACAGCATGGTTACTAATATTGTAGCAACAGAAGACAAGGGCCAGGCAACAGACCGTTTATTTATGAAATCAACACATATTTATAGATTTTCATGTACATATTACAGATTACTGTTAGCAGAAAAACAGTCCTCTGATTGGTTGTTTCTCACAGAAAGCTAAACCTGCATCTTTTTGTGGCTGTTTCTTGAATGTCAGATCATCTATATATTAACTGCATCTGCCTACGCAAAGCCTTTCTTCTCATTTTTCTCACGACCAATATTGGGGACATACACATTGACGTAAATTGCTGTCCACAGATTTTGGCTAACAGCCAGCTGACACCACAATATTACTGGAACACCTGAATTCCAACAGCATACAGACTGAGTTTGTCAGGTCATCGAAAGTATATCGATTTTCAGTGAGTTTCCGATGTAGCTATTCTATTAACCAGATTTATACTAATCAGTAATTCCAAATGAAACGAATTCAAAACTTGTTGAGTCATCTGTAAAGTGAATACCGATTCAACGATAATTTAGAATGCTTTCCATATGGATAAGAGAACATATTCCAGCATGATTTTACAAGGGAGAAACGAAGAGTGTGAGAAACCCTATTCTAGAACACTTGATCGACTTCTGTCATTACACCAACCCTACCCATGATTTCAAGGCCACCTAGGAAATCCATGCTAATTTGCCGCGTTTTCTTCGTTCTAAACTTCTAAGAACAATGAAGGTCTTGGCCATTGATGAATTGATACCAGACCTTGGTGTACAGAGGTAGTTAGTACAGTTACTATTTCCACCTTAGACGTAGAAGGATAAAAACTTACCTACTGATCCTTTTTCATTTTGTTTATTTAGTTTATCAATGTACCTTCCTGTCATTACTACCGTTATTATTATTATTATCGTCATTATCATTATTCTCACTCCGAACTGTTTTTAGTATTATTTTGCTTGTTCCACTTGTCATTTTAAACCGATGTTTTTTGCAGTGTTGAATTCTGTCTTATCAAATTTCATATGATGTTATGTAAAGTTTTTTATTTGCCTACTAATCCTATAATTTAACACTTCCTTCCAACATCTGTACATCCTGTGAATTATATATATATATGTTTTAGCATTTGACATTTAAATATGATTATAATTACAAACATTTTAATTGTATTTCAGACTATTATTGGTTTAAGTATTCACACCTTGGTTTAAATTATCATTCAGAATATAATTTCTTAAAGAGCCATAAATATACAGTTGTACATCTTGATAATGCATAGGTGACACAGTGGTTAGGACTCTCGCCGACCATGTACATGGTCTGGGGTTCGATCCCCGGCCACAGGACGCACTCCTCCACCTCGCTAAGCCAGAAATAATGCTGGTACAGAGGAAAGGTTGGGCATGAGGCTAGCGAACCCATCCTGTACAGAAACTTGAAGCCACTAGCTTGAGGTCCTATGTTCCATTGGGAACGCGTAGGAAAAAAACACAGCTTGACAATAGATTCGTTGCAAACAGTTGTTTCGCTCAATATTGTGTTTTTAATGTTACAATGGAATTCACTAAATTATTTCATTCATTGACCAGTCAGGCTACCGGATACAAAGTTATACGATGTAGGTGCAAGCTTTCATGTTGATGAACCAACCAGTCCTAAGTAGTGAAATACCTAAAAGTCAGTGACTAAATAGGTGTCTCTCTGCCACGCACTTTGAAAATGACTCATACTCGAAGACTTACAGAGGAGAATCAACAAACTAGCTGAAGAGGCAGCGGTGACAGGACTTCTGGTGAACACAAAGAGGATGGAGTTGATGAAGATAACTAATCAACAGCGACGACAAACAGCACAAATCACTATCAACGGGAGGAATCTGAAAGCGGTTACTTACTTCACTTATGATGCATCAACCACAAAACGTTTATACCTCGTAAAGTTTCCTAGCATACCTTCCGTTTCTCTCTCCAATTTAGACGTAAATGAATCTGCTAATGGGAGTTACAGAGGACTCTAAAGAGCGTAAGAAGTATATTTGAAAATGTTGTTGTGCTACGATTGTCACAAAACCGTGTCCATCTAGCGACGTATTTTATCCAAGCGATCCATGAGTCATATTCACTTTCTTAGGGATAACTACAATAGGTAGATTGTAATGGTTACATTGTCAGTTTGATAAACTTTGACATGTGAAATCGCATTTAATTAGTTAGATGATGTATCCTCTTGATCAAGATGAAGGTATTTTTAAAAACAGCAACTATTTTGAAAAAAGTAAACGACTTAACAACAAACCTGTAGTCTACGTAGTTTAAATATAACTGAAGGTATATGATAAGATTTCATTTGACCTGAACGAAGCAGTGTATCAATACGCTCAGCAATCGAAGCAGAACTTTCCTCGATAGATTTTCTTGGATTATCCAATTCAGATGTCGTGGTAGTGGTGGTGTTAAGTGTGGCTTCGTCAGAGAATTCAGTAAAGCTGACCATTTTAATTTTTGAAGATTTTCTTGCTTTAATCAAACCTTTCACAAAATGGCGATAATCCAGATGCAACGTTTTCAATTTATGAAGTCTAGAGAATTCTTCAGGAAGTGATGTGATCTCATTTCCGTAGGCGTTAATTGTATGCAGCTTAGAACAATTGATAATCTGTATTGGAAAGGTGTTAAGTCCCATGCGTTTTATCAGTAAGTAACGCAGTTCCACAAGGTTTCCAATCTACGTTAGGAAAGAAAGAAAAATGAGAATTATTTTCTAATTGTTTAGTTTTTCTTAACTATTTTAGAGTAGTGTGACAGTGTTAAAAAGAATCATTTCTTGCCCATAGGTTTTCATCTGTCCCTCACATGATCTCTTCCATGTCACCATCAGATACCCAAATTGTTGCTTCTCATTCAGTCCTGCCCGAGGACCTAGAGTGCGAGGTCACTCAGTGGTCTCCAATCAGCATATTCGTCAGGTAATAAGATCCTGGTTGCCTCTCTGCTTGATAGTGTTCCTTGCTGCTTATAATCTCTCACGGATTATCTCATCTTCAATATGGAAGAGAGACAGGTGTTGATAAAAGTTTGAAGCCCGTGACATATCAAGTCCCTGAACCAGTTAGAAGCACTGACTGTCTAGATATTAGTGTTGAGAAGCCTAATCTTGTTCTCTTTGCTTGGTACAGTAGATTTCCGGGCTGATTTCAAATAAAAGTGAAGGTCGGTGTCACCTTTCCGATCCTGACTTTGATGCACAAAATTAAAAAGTATAGGAGTTAAGATCATCTTGTCTTTCAGTAAACACCCAACCATGAAGCTATTTCATACATTTATTCCGCATAATGAATTTGAACAAAGCAAAAACTACAGTTTTAGCAGAATAAATATTGAGAGAGGAGAATATGCTCTATAGAGAAATTAGAGGAGGAGTTTGAGTTCCTTGAAAATATATTGAAGAGTAATGGGTACCCTCAAAGGTTCATCAACAAGCATGGAAGATCTGAAGTCACAAATGTAAAACAGATCACAGTGGGTGGTAAAAAGCCAATCTACATTCAGCTTGATTATAGAGGTGAAAAAATTGCAGCAATGATCAATCAACAGAAGGCTGAGTACATCACTAGTCATAGCCTATCCTGCAGCTAAGCTCCTTCCCGTCTATCGAACAACTTGCTCTTCTCTGGTGCAATCAAAAATCGATAGATATCCTTCTCATGTTAACAACTCCAGCTGTATATATAAATTTACATGTATCCGCGGGAGCAGTTACATTGGAAGGACAGAAAGAAGGGCATATCTACGATTTTCTGAACATGTACCAAAAAGCTTACGTCTAAAGGGAACAAATGCTTTAAACAGTGCCATCACCAGGCATCTTCTCGACACGGGTCATGAGGTGGACGTTGAAAAGTCGTTCAAAATTATCAATAAGCAAACTAGCTCAATTCTCCTTAAGTTTGCTGAAGCCATTTCCATCAAGCACCTGAAACCTGATTTATGCGTCCAGAAAGTGGTTATCAGTCTTTCTTTGCCCTGGTAACTGGATAATTTCACCCCTCTTTCATCCGAATGTGAAATGCTAAAAGTTTCCATTGTGTTTGATTATTATTGTTCGGAATAGTGGTTAATATTGCATATTTATATATGTATATATTTTTAGTGTATGAGTATATTGATCGATTGATTTTTGTTTGAAATGAACTCTGTGCAAGTATGTTAAAATGGTTTTTGTAGATATATTTAATAATGTCTTTGCCCTGTGAGCAACTGATGAGAAGGCAACGAAATAAAAGATGGTACCAATTTATTGGGCTAAAACTGTAGTTCTTGCTTTGTTCAAATTCATTAAGCTATTGGAATGCAGATATGTCCCAATGAATTTAACTAGTAATATGAAACGACCTACGAATGTTTATAAATCAGAATGTAACGAATTCATCCAATTTCTGCACGAATCTTTAGTTGGACATTTAACATATAATATATACTACGGAAAATACATGGGAAGATAGGTAACGAGTGAATATACTATAGGGAATCCATCGTGCGAAAAAAATTGACCTGTAAAACTCTTACATCTGTCGTTTCGCATGACTGATTAACTGGAGTTCATCACCTAATCACATTTGTATGTTCCAATGTATTTTTCATAGGATATAGGCAAATATACATATATAAAAACATACATAACTATATTAAGTGTTCAACTGAAGAGTTCAACCGAAATTTGATGAATTCATTAAATCTTGCTCTATTTATTTAAGTGTCTTCATATCGAGAAATAAATGTTCTCAGCTAGATACGCTTAATATTTGAAAGTGATAAAAATCGCCTGTCGGTACTTTACAGATTTGGTGAAAGAAATATTATTTATTTAGTATTTATTATTATATCCTTTAATTCCTAGAGGAACATAGGGCTTCACCTGCACGTCTCCATTGCCTTCGGTTTTCTGCTAATGTTTCCAGCCCTCTCCAAGTCTGCCCACACGCTTTCATCTCCTCCTCGCATGACCTCCTCCAAGTCACCCCACCCTCCCACTGACGACCAACTCGCCGCCCGCTTCCCTTTCGGCCTAGTTCCACTCGAGCAATGGCTTGTCCAGTGATGTCACTTGATGGTTTCCTCAGAGTATGGCCAGCCAATCCACCTCCATTTCTTCCTGATTATTTGTTTCACAATCGGTTCCTGGTTGGTTCGCTCATTGCCAGAGATCCCTGTTCCTGATCTTTTCTGGCCATCTGATCTTGAGTAGTATTGAGCGAAGATAGCTGTTAATGGTCTGTAGTCTGTTTGAGGTGCTCTTCATGACGCGCTAGCCAAGTCTCTGGTCCGTATAGTGAGCAGTATTGACTTCACATTAGAGTTGGAAATCTGGATCTTATTTTTCATGCTGAGTAGGAAGGGCTGTTGACTTCCACACCTCCAGTTTTACATAGGACCAAATATATTTTCAACAGACTAGTTATCTAATTTTTTGCCACTCAAATAGTCAAATTTATATCACAGGATTATGAGGTATTTCTGCTTTATTAAAGTTAAGCTTAACAATTAACTGCTAGCGAATACCAGGACTGTTACTAAATGAAACTGAAAATGCGATTCGTGCCTACAGAAATGTTATACTCATTTTTTTTGCATAAAGCAAGAACAACATTTTGTACAGAGTATGATGGTTCCCTCAATAATTTCATTGGCTTCGCATCATCTGCTTGCAGCCTAAAGTGTCAGGAGAATATATTCTACGGAGAAATTAGAGGAAGAATTTCTGACTCTTGGAAAGATGTTGAAAAACAGCGTTGGCTCTCAGAAATTCATTAAGAAGTTTGGAAGATGTGAAGACGTAAATGTTAAACAGAACACATTGAAAAAGAAGCTTATCTTCATTCAACTAGATTTTAAAGGTTATAATGTTGCAGTAATAGTTAATAGGAGATTGGATCCCTCACTCAACAGAACCTATCCTGCAGTTAAGTTGGTTCCCGTTTACTGGACGATATGGCCTTTAGTACAATCAAAAGTCGACAGACACTCTCCTCATGTTATACTCTAACTGTGTATACAAATTTATATGTATCTGTTGCAGCAGTTACATTAGGAGAATAAAAAGGTCACACCTCTGATTTTATGAACATGTGCCAACAAGCCTACGTTTCAAAGACACAAACGTTTACACTACTGTCATTATCAGACATTTCATCATCAATACAGGTCATGAGGTGGACATCACGAAATCCTTTAAAATTGTGAATAGATAAAATAGTTCAGTTCTGTAGTAATTTTCTTGTTTAACTGTCGCTTCATTGACATGCTGACATTCACTAATTATTGTCGACAAACATGTCGCCACTAGTATTTAATTGGTGGATGGTGACTAGCAGTGGAATCCAGGATGCGCATTTCGCCGGGTACTGGGTTCGAGCCTCAGTGGGAACATCATCACTCACTGAGAAATGCAGGTACATCCAGCTGACAAGTCCCAAATAGGAAGAAATGTGAGTTATCCTGGACCGGATTCCACTGCTAGTCACCATCCACCAATTAAATACCAACTAAATGCCCAGACATCGTCGAAGCATCTGCACAAGAAGCCGACAGACATGTCAACCTGGACCGGGCACTTCGGTCCAATCAATCGACGGGAAAATCTCAAATTCAATAAAATGTCGCCACTAGATTGGTAAAATGTTTGGTGCTGTATTAAAAATGCTACATATGTACTAGAGTACAGCCAGAGACGAAGATCTAATTAAAAAGTAAATATTTCTTCTCTCAGTCAATTTGCAAGTATGTTAAAAGTTATTAATTTCTATTGGCTATACGCAGATGGTGAGACTGTGACGAAATAAATGATGGTAACAACCTATTGTGCACAAATCGGTGCTTATCGATAATACATTATGGTTATTACTATAAATTTATAAATTACTATAAATTTTTAAATGCTGTCGATCTGTTAAGATCATTGAAATTACAGTTCAAGAAAGATGCTCAAGTTATTAATAAGCATAAAAATGAGAAAGCGAATAGAATATCACATAAAATTAAGGAAATTTCCACAACAAATTTGAGGATCATTAAAACCTTGATGGCCAGGGTAATGACAGTGTCTGAACCAAATACTCCTGGATATATAAGTTAGGCTCCTTAATGTAAATCCCAACAGCCTCAACAATATATAGAAGATGAACTCTTAAGGTAAAACTAAGATTAGTCAGAATACGGTAGATGACTTTGAAAGCCGCCTTGCTAACGTAAGCCTTGTGTTCTGTATCCATGAGATGCGATAAAATAGAATCACGAATGGATTTTGTTTTTCCCCTTTCTAACCACGTGTTCGGATGAATATTTCCGCAATAAATTTTCAGATTTTGGCACAACGAAGTGGGACAAATAACGGACAATCAAAGCTCAGCTTACAGCATACGTGCTACAGAGAAAAGATCGTTCACCTTGTCATATGACGATGACATCTGTGCACAATTTTAAACATGGCACGAAAATGAAAACACCTTATCAAACACCACCCAGGTCACGACAGACTATAATAAGTGCCTATTTTTCTCGCCCCAATGGTTAACATACCATAGCAGGAAGTTCAGTTGCCCAATTGTCACTTAAATCCAGTTTCGTTAAACTTGTAAGTTGAAAAATAATCTTTGGAATAACTTTTAATTCACAGGAGGACATTTTTAAAGTTTTCAAGTTAACAAGACGATTCATATCTCTTGGAAATTGTGTACTTTCTGTTTTATCATCGATATTATTATTACTGTTATTACTGCTGTTAACTGATTGTACATGGGATTTATTTGCAGAGATGGATTTACCCCCACTGAGTTGTACTTTATCGCCTCCACTTTTCATCTGGAAGACACCAGTCGAACTCATTCCAGGCACTTGTGAATAACCTCGAAGATTGTTATGACTTATATCCAAATAACGCAGATTGATCATGACACAGATTTCAGAGGGTAAAAAGCTTAGGCTATTATTGGATAAATTTAATTTAGTGATTGTAGTTCCTAAATACAATAGAGAAAACAAAAATACTTCGAGTTAGTCTGTAGAAAAATAAACTGGTAAAAATTTAAATGATTCGTCAAATAATCAAAGGCGGCTTGTTTGAAACCCGGGCAACCAAACTACTTCATTATTGTATTGCAGGTAATTTCGCTTGTTCAGTTCGCTTCTTCACCCTAGCTCTCAATGCCTTTCTCAGTGTAAGAAGGCTTTTCTTCGGTATGCCAGGAAATATTAAGAGAGAGAGAGCAATAAAGAAGGATATGTAGGTTAACAAACTGTAAGTGTAGAGAAATATAAAGTGATGCCTTACGTCAGTTTGCACCGAACAAAGGACTAGACATATCACACTAGTTGCTAGTGTCCAGTCACAACAGTGTATTCATCAGAATTTCTTATAATTTCATAGTGCTATTTTTTTACTATTGATGGAGCTTCTCGAGGATCGAAAATTTTGGCATTACGTCATAAAGGGATTACGAAGAGGTTTTTTGCTCAAGGATATTACTGTCATTACCTGTGCAGTTGTACATATATTAACAAAACTTAAGTGGTAGGAATTCGGTACTGAGTTTGTCCACTCAAAAGTCTGATGAATGAATAAAGAATATTCTTGTCAATAAACTCTTCTTCATCAGGTTCTGCGGTAATATCACCATATTATTTAATAGTGTGAAATATTGAAACCGTTTGATATAAATATAGCACACAAGCCAGTCAAATCGCTTAATTCGATATTATGCAAGCCGAAAAATCCAACAGAAACGAATATGCCATTAACAAACACGTTAATATAGACCAAATATACCAACTAATCAAAAGTAAATCTGGTGACCAGAGAGTTTAAAATCCAAGTCAGTAGAAAGTGGTCAGTACATATGTTAAGATGGTTACCGGGAGACGCAATTATATCGCTCATGAAAAATTTAAATCATTTTGATTTTTTTTGATTTTTTTTTGATTTTTGATTTACAGCTTGATTCCACACTGTATTTTTGGTACAAGTATGGAATTTTCAGCATGGATATCGGTAGCCCAAATTTTGCAGGCCGACCATAGATATCAGGTGTGGGCCGGCGTGGGCTCGAACCCCGGACCATTTGCATGGTCGGCGAGAGTCCTAACCACTGTGCCACCGACGCACTTTATGCTAAAAATTGCGCTGAATATGTTGTCCAGAAGGACGACGAAAGCTCCGCAACTAAACCAACCAGCTCTTCAGAGAACACTATTAATTGCAAAAGTGTGAAATGATTCCCATATCATGAATTAAAAGTCAATCTGAATGAAGAAAGAGTATTCTTTTTAATAAGTACTTCTCTTCAGGTTGTCACAATTATAAAATATAATATTTGTTGTCGTTACAATAATGATACTCAGTTAGTTATGCGGCGGATGCATTTTTTTAACGGAGAATAACAGATTAGCAGTTATCGGGTGTCAAAATAAATAGTCGTATTTGTGTGTGACAAACGTGCTAGTAGGCTGAAGTCGATTATAAAATATCTCGGTGAATACAGAATATCTCGGAGACAATAGTGGTGTACTAGCCACTCACTCACTCACCTGATACCTTTTATAACCTTGAATTGACTGGTCAATTTTCCTACCCCAAATCCTACGAATCTATTTTGATTAATCACCACCATTGTCTCCCACTTCATCGAGATATTTTCTAATCGATTTCAGCCTACCACGTCTGTCACACACAAATACGACTATTTATTTTGACATCCGATAACTGCTAATCTGTTATTCTATGTTAAAAATGTGTCCACCGCATAACTTGCATTTATTGTAACGACAACAAATATTATATTTTATAATTGTGAGAATCCGAAGAGAACTTATTGAAAGGGATATTCTCCCTTCATTCAGATTGACTTTTAATCATCGTAATATTTAAAGAAATGTTTTTTCAAGTATCGGTTTCTGAAGGGATTTTTGTTTTATTGGTTGGAGGATTTCGTCATTAGTTGACATCAGTTAGTGTACCATTGGAAAACCTTCAGGGAGTACTGGACAGCCGTTTCGTTCTAGTTTGAGACACTTCATCAGTACGCACCCACTGAGGCTCGAACCCAGGAGCTTCTGATTACAAAAACTTTCTCTCACACGCACACATACATATACAAATACATGGCTATAGAACATACAATACAACATACTAACAACACAGGGGAAATGTCATGTCGCCTACACGTCGTACTCGTTAAGTCCCAACAATGAACAAAGTCCTAAACTAGGACGAAACAGCTGGTTTTCCAATGGTTCTCTAACTGATGTAAGTTCATGATGAAATCCTCCAAGCAATTAAAGAAATGATGTTATTAACAGTAACAGTAGATTACAATTTGAAATCAACAGTAACTGAGAGATAATATGCATCAATATAACACTAAACTGAATATCAGATGAATTAAGGGAAGCAAGACAGAATTTATGAATTTATTGGCTGAACAGAAAGCCAGGGTAGTAACAATAATAATAATAATTTGCTTTATTCCAAAACAGTACTTGTGATACAGAATGGAATTCTCAGCATATTATCACAGTATTGCATCCAGTTAGTACATTATCAATAAATAAAATTCTATATAGATTAAGGTAATCTCGGTTAGTTTTGACAGCAACATATTGGCATGTCGGTAGCAAAGCAAAAATTGAACAGAGTGTTTGAAGGTGTTAGAAAAGTAGATGCCAACATATTTACTGGCGTGAGCGGAAGAAAGAAACAAAGAAGCACAGAAAAAAGAGAGAAAGAAAACGTTGTACTTATAAATGATATGAGTTGGAAAGACGAGATCCACTTGTTCTATTGACTATTTGATAAGTTTTAGGTATCACGACTATTGCTTTCTTTATCGCACAGAACGCGAGGTAAGTAGGGTATGGTTGAGTTTTTGTACCTACTAGTGCGGGTATATAGTTTTTTATATAGGCTTTTCGCTTTACCTGATGAGATACAAGGAGAGATTTGTGAATTAAGAGGGTGGTGGTGTGAGTTAGATGAAATGGATTTTGCTCATTTTTCACGTCAGTTCATGTGCCTGTCAACCAGAATATTAACAAGCTGGTTAAGTGGCATATTGCTTACCCTGCTGACAACCTTTAACATCCTACGCTCAATACTGAAGATCAGATGTCCAGAAAGAGTCACCAACAAGGAACTATGGGAACAAACAAAGCAAGAACCAATCACCAAACAAATATGCAGGAGAAAGTGGAGATGGATGGATTGGACACTCGCTGAGGAGACCGCTGGATGATATCACGCGTCAAGCCCTCGAGTGGAACCCGTGTGGGACGTCAGTGCAAGGGTGACATGGAGGAGATGGTGTGAAGAGGAGTTGAAACAGCATGGACTAACATGGATGCAGGTGAAAAGTGTAGCAGAAGAAAGACAGGAGTAAATGGAGACGTGGAGTTGAAGCCCTATGTTCCACTAGGAACCCAAGGAAACAATAATAATAAGATATAGTCTTTCTTCAGTAGCCCTGGGAAAACTAAGGGGGAACAATAGAGAATAATAGACAGAATGGGAGAGTTAACGAATTGTAGGAGTAAGGGTTGGGTTATACCAGAATGTCTTAAGTTCTTGATGCAGAAGGTAAGACGGAATCATCAAGATATGAGACGACCAGGAAAGATCAGCAGATAGAATGACGGCAAGATATTTAATTTCCGACTTGGCTTTTTTTTCAGTGCCACCTATGTTGCACACCTGGTGAGTGGCTTTTGCACACACCTTCACTTGATTTGAGCAAACTGCAATGGCCTGTTCTGTCTGTAGTGTTCATTGTCCAGAGGCGCTTGATAATATATTCGATGTCAAATAGGAGGTGGAGCAACACTATTCAATTCTTAATGGCCTTTAGATGGTTTTAACAAGGACAGGAAGTTAGTTTCCTTGAGCAACAGCTAATATAACTGGCTCAAATGGAGTAGTTGAATTGACAGATACAATTGGAGGTAACTAGTCTAGTTCCTTCATCTTTCCCTTTCGTAATCATAACTGGTTGTGTTGAAAATATGAACTGCAGCTTACCAGCAATAAATATTCTCTGAACCGACTTTCTGAACTTCTTAGTGATGACCAGTTTCAGTTAAAATGTGACAAAAAAGTAATACAAACCGTAGAGCCAGAATAATATTAATGGCATTTGAAACGATGGGTTCTGGGTTCAAGCCTCAGAGGAAACGCTATCACCCATGGATGCATCCACATAACGAGTCCCGAAAAGGACGAAATGCACATCGTGGGTATCACTGCTAGTCACTACCCAAAAAGAGTCTAAATCGCTTACCAAAGCATTGAAACGAAGAGTATTAGGAAGTATTTTGTAAAGTTTATCTAATATTTAGTTTAGAAATGTTACCATTCTTCATAAAACATACGGTTAAAGAATGAACTGATGGATCCATAAACTGATCATCTACTGGGCAATTATGACTTCCACACACTGGCTGTATTCACCATCTTGACAAATGAATGTTGGTTGATGGTTTTCAGTATCATTCCAGTATCATAGAATCAGATGAGCAGATGATTCGTCTGTACATCTTGTTTTTTCTCCCATATGTTAGAATCAATGAATTTAAATGGAAATTTATTTTAATGTATGAAATTTTGCTCATTTTTGCTTTGTACTATTTTTTTTACACTTTTTGATTTCCCGTCTGATTGATTTTGCTCCCACAACTACATAATGTTATATTAGTTCCCCTCTCCCTACCCCGCTACTCCCATACATTTAAATCTACTTCCCCTTTTCATGCTTTCATTTTATTGCAATGGAAACAAATCCACTCATGCAAAAAATGGGAGCTTTAAAGGAGACACCATAGAGTGGAGAAGTTTTTACCATGTCTTTAATGCCACTTTGCTTAATGACGATTTACGCACACCCTCACACACACACACTTAGAGACAACAGAGAGAAACAGAAACAAGTACTCCCCAAATTACTATTTCCTTTAAAAATGTTACACATTTAGATTA